AAGAAGAAAGAGGGTGTGAGAGAGAGGAATGATGAGGTAACAAAAAACAAGAGCAGTCAGTGTGCAAAACGCTTTGAACCGTTTTTCCAGCCACTCCCACCATGCCCATCTCCCACAGGGGAGGGAAGGGAGACTTCAACACTGAACCTACAAAACAGAGATAAAAGGGCCAGAATAAAAGCTCAGTAAAGTAGATCAAAGGTAAAGTACTAGAGTTAAGAGAGAGGGAGTTAAAATACATAGATAAAAGCTAAGATAATATGAGATGAAGAATGAAAAATAAAAGCCCCAGTGATGGAGTTCTGTCTCATACCATCCTTCAATAATGCTCTGGAACTGGAACTTGTTTTCATTTGGCTTCATGGGAAACACATTTCCCCACACACATACCCAATAAGGACCAAAGCTATGAAGGGTAAACTGGATGAGAGACCCAGTATACGACATTTATTGTGGACATATAAGCGGTTTGTCCAGGAGCATGGAGCATCTGACCAGGAGCATCTGATCTAGCTCTCAAACTCACACTAGTGAGAGAAGTTCTCCCATTTAGACAAGGGAAAAGATGTAAGGGAAAAAATGCCTTCTGCTGACCAGTTCCTTTGTATGTTACAGGTTATGCTTGGCAAAAAAGAATTTCTTCCCCGGAACAAATTACTCAAAAAGATTATTGTTCCATTGTGTAGTTACAGATTATTTTCTGGTGTCTGTGGAAATGCCTTCTTTTTTCTGGCTGGCTATAATGTGGCAAATATGAATATGGTAAGTGTGATCAAATAGGTTGCTAAGTCAACAGTAAAACATTCATTTCTATTTTTTGAAGTTGTATTGTTCTTTTTCATGTCACCAATGCAAGCAAAGCAAAGCAGAGGACCACAAAGAGTTAACATCTTTGTTACAAGTATAAAAACAATGATGCTCTATGTGTGTGGAATAAACAAATATAAGAGGATACAAATGTAAACAGATACAAACAACGAGACTTGCAGAAAGGTGCTTGTTTTGTGTCTTCATCAGATTTGTATAAAATGATCCATTCATGTTCTGATCCTATTAGCAGACTGAGGTAACTGTGGCTGTCAACCCAGCTGTTGGAAGATACACCTATATGGGTCATTGGAATTATATTCCCCATTTCATAGTTACTCAAATGGTTGATTTCTATGGGGATGCAGTTGCTTCCCTACCTAGTTTGTGACATGTCACAGTCTCC